TATGCTTCTCATGTTTGCACATAAGTCCAAAAATCTCACCATATACAACCTTGAAGCAGGACAGTCCCACAATATTCCTTTTCCTGTCTCTTGCTGTCCTTCACCACCGCCTTCTTCTTGAAGATTTAAACAGGATGTTTGTGTAAATCACATGAGGCTTGGGAGGGACACATCTAGATATAAACATATTCTACCTGGAAATCATTTAGTGGAATGATAGAAGGACTGAGTTAAAGAATGAGTTGGACAATTTGATCCCCATTTAATCACTATTACCCTAGCGACTATTCTTGTTGTATACTTAATAGTTGATCATAGTTTTGTCTACCTCATACCCATCCTATGTTTTGCCCAGGTTACCTAAGTGACTATACTTGTAATCTTATTGACTGGTTTTAGTTCTGTCCCACCATAAGGCCACCTCACCTCATGACTTTGCTCAATAAACATCCTTGAGAAGCAGGGTTGGCGGGCAACCCACTTTCAAGGGCCCCTCCTGTCCCTCTCAGACAGGAACTTTATTTCAATAAATTCTTCCTACTCTTAAAAAAAAAAAATGGACAACAGAAATGGAGATTATTAAGGTCCAGTGTTAGAACTACAGAATAGTGAGTTGCAGACTAAGAAACTAAGCACAGTCCTCAGGAGGGTGGAGTGGTACATGCGGGGGGGTAAAAGATGAGGAAACTGAAAAATGATGATCATCAAGAAAACCAGGAAAGCTCAACATGATAGAAGTGAGAAATGTCTAGGAAGATGGTCAATAGTTCTGCATAGTCATTGTGAAAATATCAAGTAGAATGCAGCGTGAGTATAGACCAGGGAAATCTGACTCCTAGGAGGTGATTAATAGTCCGTCAGAGAATTGGTCCGTGGAGATGCTGAGTGCTTAGGCCAGGGTTGCAGCAATTCAGCAAGGTCGTGTGGGCTGCGGAAGTGACCTGGTAAAGCATTGGACACTTTCAGGAAAAAAACTAAAGGAAAATAAAAACAGTGGGTTGGTGTAGAGAAAAAAATGATGGCAGTTTCAGGAGTTAAGATTTGAAAAAGAATGAATGGTATTCTTCTTGGTCAGGTTTGCCAGATGGGAGAAAAATCCGCAGAGATGAAATAGTTGAAAATAGGAAAAAGATGAGAAATCATAGGGTCAGGAAATTGAAGCTGTAAGCAGAAAATGAAGCCAAGGGCACAGAGGATTGAAAGGAAAAAGAAGGATTTGTTTTTCTGGGGAAGAAGCAATGGGAAAGATAAAATAAAAACTAAGCCATAAGGAGTGTGGGAAACAGAATTTCATGTAGTCTCATTAACCACCTACTCTGGTCAGTCACTTGCATCAGTCTAAGAGCTAGAGGGAGAAGCGGGTAGTGTGTCTTCCCCATCCAGTAGGAGGACAAGGTGAGAAAATCAGGGGTGGCTGGTGTTTCTCATCGTCGTGTCATTTTCTATAGATATTAGTGATGGACACATTGGTCTTGAAACTCGACTGCCATTTTTCAAGTCTGTAGTTCTGAAATTGAACAGACCTCAAAATACTTTTCTTCTGTCATCATCATATCTCCTTAATTTCTTTTAAACTTTGTCCCTACTTTGCTAAGCAGAACTGTCATCTGCTAAGCTGCCCTGGCCTCGTTTTCTAGGAATTCCCAGCTGTCTTTCCCAAAAGCCATAGAGAAACTTGTTGCCTTTTTGATAGAATGCCCATGAACGTGGGAGAGAATGTGTGTTTCCCAGAGCTTAACCTCTCAGATGGCAGGGCTCAGGAAACACATTACAGTCAGCAGATAATAAATCTAGTTTTCATGTTCCAGAAGGTGGCAGTCCCCAAGGCTGTGCTCCTGATAACTTTGACCAGGTTTGGTCAGAGTTGGTCTTTATCAGGAAGAAAGGATATCTTCTGGAGCCAAATTAATCATTGCCCTATTAAATAAAATGTTGTAAGGACTGGACAGTGTGAGGAAGTAAAATTATACTGGGGGGAAAATTACAGCGAAGTACTCCTCATATATAGAAAATTGTTAAAAAGTGTAATGGAAAAAAGACTCCTCTATATTCCTTAAGACTTTATTTTTCTACAAGTCCTGTATCCAGATTTGGGAGCACAGCCAAGAAAATATAAGCCGAAGTGTATTCTAAGAGTCAGAATAGGTGTTGTAAAATATGTGCTATATATACTCTCGACTTGTGAGTTTCTGAGGTACTTGCTCTTTCTTAATGTAGGCATAGCTATAGTAAGTGCAAGGATATAGTTTCTCAGCACATAACTTACTAGGACAGGTTTACCTAGGTGCCAAGACAATGCAAACGTAGGTAAATAGAACGAGAAATCCTCAAATCTTTCTGAAGAGCTTAATGTCCTGAGATCGTTACCTCCTGATCAAATAGATCCATGCCGCATTTGTCCCTGGTGTGTCGGTGACTGACCCTGTAGACCTCCTAAGTCCTGTCTAATTCTTAGAATTCTATTATACTTCTGTATTTATGGTTTTGACTCTGAACCAATTCCTGTGTGAACTATAAAGTCTTGCTCCTGGTACCCCTTCCTGTGGTCTGAAGCTGCGGAAGGTCGCGTTTCTTGCACAAGCCTTGTTTTTGTCCATTTATCTTTGGGTATAAATTAAAGTGTGATGAATGTCAGGTCTCTAGAGTAC